ATTTCTTGTATTCCACTTTTCTCAATATAAGATTCAATAACTTCTGTTGGCGAACTATAATTAAGGTGTTCGGAAATCTTAACAAACAATTCCATACTCTTTTGTCTGCAATTTGGATCTAAGGATCCACATTGAGTAAATAACCAATTAACAGCATCAGTTAATGTTCTTCCTGTAAATGCGGATGGTTTTCTACGCAATGGATTATCTTCATTCAATAAATCTGCCTTAACTTGTATAACTTTATTGATGTGGTTAAGAGCATTATGTATTGAGATATCATTACATCCTTCTAAACTTTTAATAAAACAATATAATAACTCTAACCAATATATTGTAATTATCTCCTCATGTTCACGCATAATTCTGTAAAGATGATTAAAAGCCGTAGCTGCTGCCATACGTTTGCCCTTAGAAGGATGTACTGCAAAATTAGTTATCTTTCTTATGATATCACGAATATGTCCATTGTGTTCGTTTGTCTCTGAAAATTGTCTCAAAGACCAATCTATAAATTCTGATAAACATAAACCAGAAAATTCCCTGACGGATGATTTTTCATTATTACATAGACCGTCAAAAAGTACATTTATAAACAATGCAGTTATAAGTGATTTAAACATAAATTGTGAGCTCAGCCAATGTGACAATTGTATCATTAAAGGTTGAAAAAGTTTCCACACAACTTCATCGGAATCACAACTAAGGTCGAGTAATACTGGATATAACGTTTCATATAAAGTAGCAAAACGATCTATATCCACTGTTAAATGTTGCTTTGCTTTACCAAGAATAAATGAAACCATTTTATAAAGTAATTCACTTGCAATTACTTTTGTGCGTCTATCCCCAGAACTTTGAGCCAAAGTTATCAATCTGGGAAGAATTTTATCAAAATGAAACTCTGTCCTCAAGTCTGGAAAATACAGCGTACACTTAAGTAAATCTTTCTTATCCCAAGTTGATCCTGTATTTAAGGTTCTTCTATATACGACATCTGATAAAACATCGGAATCCAGTGAGCCAAGAAATAAAAGGATTCTTCTTTGAAGATTTTCTAATGCATTGTCGTTATCAATTAAAGTTATATATTTAACATTTTTTCTCTCAGACTTTATAATATCTTGTAATAATTCAGTAGAGCTTTCGTTGCTTTGTAGAAATAATTCTAAACTTGGTATTATTTCTAACAAGAAATCCTTAGTGTCTTCTCGATCTAAATGAGATATCCATTTTTCCAAAGTATCAAGTATAACAGAGGCAAGATCAAAATCATTTAAACCCATTGTAATAGCAATTTTAAATGTAGAAATCGTACGATTCAATACGTTTGGTACATATTTAATTGGTATACACATAATTAGGTAAAGACAAGCAGTCAATAACTCATTGGAAAAAGTAACAATCTGATCCAAAATATTTATCAAATATTTATACACTAATTCTTGTATTTCGATATTATTATCATTTTTATTATCTATAGTAGAAAATATTTCAGAATTCTTCATGATTACATGAACTAATTTGTAAAATCCTGATATCAAAGGATATTTGTAAGACATTCTAATAATTTCATATAAAAATTTATGTATTGTATTTTCCAAAAGAAATGATTCAATCCGATTAATTATATCAATCATAAGATCCACCATATTAAGAAATATTCGGAAATCTTTTTCATTTTCGGCAGTTTGAGAAAAAACTATATCAGAAAAAATACAATCGTCCTTTATCCTGGTATTTAAATTTAATTTAGTTATTAACGTAATATAGATGTTTATTATTTTATCAAAAATTTGTTGTGGTATTAATTTTTCTTCATATTTATATCTACTTGGTTTCAACAATTCCAGCCACAAAGGCAAATAATTCTTATAACAAATTGGATTTTTTGAAAGATTATGTAGTTCACCAAGCAATTCAGCATCAATCCGTAACGTATGTGAGCATGTCCATGCAATTCCATCAAGAACTATAGAAAATTAATATATAATAGAATAGTAGATTATTGTATTAAATAAAATTAAAAATAATATATATATACTTACTTATATTATGAAGAAATTCATCTAATAATATCTTATTTATGGAAGCAATATTAATTATAGTTTTAATTAATGACGAAATCGCATAAGTTTTACGTATTCCAGAGAAATCAGGATATCTTTTGATAGAGAAAACACTAATTTTTATCAGAAGATTTATTTGTCCAATAGACACATCTGATACGTGACGAAGTATTTCTGATAATGCTTCTTGATAATCAGTAATATTTTCAAATTGTACCTGTTCCATATTCTCCCTAAAATACAAATAAATAAAATACAGTAGCAATTTTTAATAATACCATATGCGTAATATATGTATCTGTTGTAAGAATATAATAACAAAATTACTTTAAAAACAAAGAAACTGTGTAGCCTGCAATAAGTAAATACATATCTTTGACATCATTATGAAAATATATTTTACAAGGAGCAGCTAATTTACTAAATCCATAAACTACAAGTCTTAATGAATTTGGATCTAATGCTGGATCCATCAGTTGTTCTTTAAAAAGATTTTTAAAATACTGAAAATAATTACAAACACATCAGATTTATTAAATATATAATATTATTAAATTAATAATGAATTATACAGGGAGTCCCAGTTTTGTTCTGCAAAATTTTACTAGCATATTCAATAAATTAAAATAATAAAATGAAAAAAACTGGGATACCTCGTATATTTTTATTGTATAAGAAAATTTATTACCAAAAATACTGCTTTATTTTTGTCTTCGTCGCTAGATTTTAATACAATTTCTAAATTATTGTAATAAGCTTTTAATGCTTCCTGTCCGCATTGTCCATGTGAACTTCCCTCTTTTGTTAAATTGAAAAGCAGTTTATACCAATATTTATAATCATTATATACAAATGTAGAAAATAGATTTATATTTTTGGATAAAAAAACAATTGCTGTTCTCGTGATATACTTTTTTGCTAGATCTGGCATGCTAAGATATTTAATCCATTTATATAACTCTGCATAATATTCTGAACCTATTTCTTCAGATGTGCAAAGATCATTTAAAATACTAGTAAGAACTTCCAAATAAGTTTGAATCTCGTTAGGTTGATTTTTTAATGAAGGATTATACTGTAAATATAAAAATATATTATGATAATGTTATAAACATTTCTATGCATATATACAATATTCAAATAATAGTTCATTATACCTGGCTTTTAAAATCATTAAACAGTAATTTAAAAATATCATTTTTATATCTCTGCAAGGTTGGAACTTGTGGATGATGCTGTGCTATTGTTCCAAAAATAGAGAAGATAAAACTTCTTTCTGTAAGAAAAACATATAAGTATTAAGTAGTTGTTACATTAATATTTTGTTTAATAATTATTATTATTGTTTTCAATGTGTTAAACAAAATACCTTTAACAGGGAGTTTATAGAATTTTGACATAAATTCTCTAATAGTTTCATCTAAGTTTAACTCATTTTCTTCAAATTTTTCTAGTAATTTTTTCAAAGTACTACAAGCAGATCTTTTAATATACATAGAACACTGCATAATAAGTGCCAATTGACAAATATCCTAAACAGAATAAACAAATCAAGAATATTTTATTTCAAGTTATGAACCTACAATTATACGATATTTATTATTATATAAATAAACAAGTTATATAGATCCTTACTTTAACCGGTTGAACATATTGATGAAATATCATATGAAAATTGTCTATAATAAATCCAATTATTGAAAATACTTCTATAACTACGTTATCAAAATGTCTCCTTGACACCAGTCTATTAAGTTCGTTTTTGAGAAAAGTGAGCAATCCTTCGTCATTATTAAAAAGATTAGACAATGCTTGTTCTACATAGAAAAAAATTTGTGATTTAAATAAATGTGAAATATATATTAATGTTGCTGAATATTTCCAAATACTTACTGCTTTCATCTGTTGTCAAACTTTGAAAGTATTTATGACTATCCTTTAAGAATTCTACTAAATCCTTGGAATTATTTTCTTTTATGCATCTTACAAAAATATCCATAAATGATGAAATCGACTCCATGGTTAAAATCCACTAAATTATTTAAATTATAAAGTATATACAGTGTTTACTGAATTAATTTACAAAATATATATAGGTTAAAATATTTTTTAGCGACTTTTTACATATAATAAATATAACAATATTATTATTAGTGAGCGTTAGTTATTCTTAAGTTCATTGCCACAAATATCAAATTCTGTCAATGTTCCCGCCATCCCCATTCACGACCTTCGTACTTTATTTCGTTAAGATCTATTCTAATATTATCAGTTTATAAGTAATTATAAACTAATATAACTAAGTGTATAAATAATTTATAAACTGTCACAGACTACTAAGCACTATATTCGTTAGGATACCGTCACGGCTATCATTTCGTCATTGATAACAGAACAAACATAACCTATTTACAATATTACATGTTTAATTATATTATTGTTATTGACACATGAATTGTATTAAAAAGCATATTTTTATAAAACTATTTCAATATTTTATATGAATCTAATTACAAAATTAATTTGTACTATTATTTATGAACAAGCATAATATTATCAAAATATAAATTTGCCATCTAGCGATGACAAAAGAAATTACAAGCACACATGTAACATGTGTGACATGTAAAGGTAATTCAAAAGTCACGCAATTACTATGTAACTTGTTGATTTACAGGTTTTTTTTTAATTTTACCTTTGTCAGTTAAAAATTGAGCATTCTTTTTTCATTCCATCAAATATAATATTATTATCTTGTTTTAAATAATTTATTAATCGAATTGTTTAACTTATGAGTCACTCTATACACTGATGCTTTCTCAATTTTATCAATCGGTTTGTAGTAAATTTATTTTCTTATATTATAATTTTTATTTTAAATTACGAATAATAAGAAATAAGGATTCATTTAAGTAAAAATAATTTAATGAATACGTATAATAAATATTTATTTTTTGACACATGAAAACTTGATAATAACACTTCCAATAATATATAATGTAATGTTTGAAATGACAATCTTGTAAGTCAACAAAAATTATATTATATTGTTCATTATTAAAAAAAGAAAACTAAAATTTTTACTTGAATAAATATATTAAATATCAAAGAAGAGATATAATTGGAAAACCAAAATGTACATCTTATAATCAGATAAGATGACTTTGATCAACAATTAAGATAATAATTTATCAACATTTTGATTTCACATCTTTATCAACCTCTTCAACGATTGACATGAACTTGCGCCATTGTACCATATTTAAACAAATACCTGTTTTAAAAAAACATCTATTAATTAACTATTTTTAACTATGCATTACAAATGTTCTTCTTATCAAAATATAAATCAAATTAATATACTCTATATACCTTTTTTACTTGGTTTTAAATCTCCATCTTTATCCATGTACATTTCTCTTATATCAACAAAGAGTTTTCCTTTAAAATTTCGAACATTTACATATCGTCTGCCACCTAAATCCCATCCGTCTTCCCCATCATTCTTCGGTTCTTCCACTTTAGTTTCTTTCTTTGATTTTTTATTTGAGATAGCTTTTTCTCCTGTTTCTGTTTTCTGTTTCTTCTTTACTTGTTCCTTTTAATTATAAAAATTAAATAATTGACAAATATATATTTCAATTTAAAAGAAAAATCAAAATTTAAATATTTTGCGAAGATCTAATATTTAAATTATAATTGTAAAATATATAGTGTTCTTGATAAACTTTCAAGCTTATTTTTTTCAAAAACAAAATCTTATATGAATGAATTTTATTCCACATTGTAGAAATTAATTTAGTGCCTTACATTCATTACATCAAAATTGCTATCCTTTGCGTCAAGGAATTTGATAATTGCTTGAAGAATGAACTAAAGTCATCGAGAATAATGCAGACTATTTAGAAGAATAATAGATGTATTACTTTGTAAATAAATACTAAATTTGTTTAAAAAGCACCGAATTAAATTCTACATATAATAACTCCTTATTATGTTACAAAACAAATTTTAAATATCTGAATAAGATTATTTTTTACGTCATATAAATCAAATATTGTCACAAAATATTTGAATAAAGAAAATTTGAATGTAAAATTTCCTAATGCATTTTGCATACAATTAAAGATAACCCTAAATAAATATAAAACGTAAATTACCACCTCGCTGTCGCTATCACTATCGCTCGAGACATATTCCTTTGATTTAGGCATTTTATAAATGAGAATCTCTGTAATACAAAAGCATTAATTAACAATCGAAATAGATAAAAGTTTGATTCAATAACTTAGTACTTTCAAAAGTTTTTTTTTTATAAATTGTATACAACAATATGTTACGTTAATATACTTATATATTGAATATTATAATTATGTTTTAGTAAATTTTATTAAACAATTTATTGTTGATGTAAATTAATTATGAATTAAAAAACATGTGTATTTATATGTGATATACATATAAATGTATATATAAACATGGTTCTATTTTAAGTTATACAGGATATACTCTGAAATATTGACATGAAATAAACTATTTATATTTAATTATTTAAATTTAAAATGAACTTACATATTCTTAACGAAATTTATTTGCTCTTTTCTTCAAAAAAACCGTTTCAGTTTCTAAAATCGAACTTGGTCGTTTTGTATGAAATTTTCTTCTCATTCGTTATATTTCAATGTGTACTGCTTTTATGTACACATGCATATTCGCATGAATCATAGCAAAGTACATAAAATAAAATCAATATTAAAAAGTGATCATTATATCGTGTATTTATATTGTATTATAACGATAGAATGTTGAATTATTGGATTATCAATTAATGTTTTCATATTTGTCAAACAATTATCATATTAGAACTTTGTCCAATTTAATAGCAAATCATTTTACAAATCAGAAATAGTACAAGTATATAGGAATTGACCATTGGAAATGTGTCTTTTGAGCGAAATTAGCGACATCTCTCTCTTGAAGATATTATATATTCAAGAAGAAAAGCAACACTTAGAACTGTATTTCTTGTTCGCTTAATTTCGTTGTGTAGTTTGTGAAAAATTATATTCAAGTTAATACATCTTTAATTAATCATGCCGAAAAATAAGGGTCAGTAAATTAAATATTTTCTATTTTAAAATCTTATATTTAAATATAAATGTTCGTAACACGTTTAATTTTCATAGTAAAATGTAATTAGTTTATCATAACCTAACAATGTTAAGCGTGTATTGCAATGTGCATTTTTTTACTATATTTTAATTATAATTATTGATCCATGTGTTCGATATGTTTTATTAACAATTACTTTATCTTTCTAGGAAAGGGAGGTAAAAATAGGAGAAGAGGTAAAAATGAAAATGAAACAGAAAAGAGAGAGTTGGTATTTAAAGAAGATGGTCAAGGTACAATGTTAAACATACAAATATGTCTGAATTGATCTATAGGTTATTTTTTGATTACATAAAAATAATACTGAAACTGTTCTCAGAGTATGCTCAAGTAACAAAGATGCTGGGTAACGGCAGGTTAGAAGCTATGTGCTTTGATGGTGTAAAACGATTGTGTCATATAAGAGGAAAACTGCGTAAAAAAGTTTGGATCAATCAAGGTGATATCATTTTAATTGGTCTTCGGGATTATCAAGATGCTAAAGCAGACGTTATTTTAAAATATACATCTGATGAAGCTCGAAATTTGAAAACATATGGTGAATTTCCAGAAACTGGTAAGTATAAATATTTTAGACAATCAAATGTAAACAATTTTGTTTACTGAAATTAAATTTATGTTATGTTTACTTTAAAGCTTTGGTGTTTGATAATAAAAAAATGTTATTATTTCAGTACGCATCAATGACACAGTTACCTTCGTTGAAGATGGTTTTGATGAAGATATTGAGTTTGGTGATGAAATTAGCGATGATGATGAAGATGATGTAGACAACGTAAGTTGAAAAGTAAAAATACTTCAATGCTTCTGTGCTTGTATAAAATAACATACAAAATAATTATACACGCATTTACTTTTACAGATCTGATGATATATTATACAATCAGATGCAAAATATGGTGTCAAATTGTATAGGAGTATCTATTTATTTCAATAGATGCAACTATGGAATCTTCATTAAAACAGCAAATTTTGCTTCTAATAAGTAGCCAATTTTTCTTGTATCTATGAATAAAATAACATGTTTCCAATTAATGTCATACTTGTTTTGCAATAGTATTATTTTTTCAAGTTTTGTCAGAGATATATATAAAATATTTTTTATCTAAATTATGTCACGCATTAAATTAATATTATCCATTGTTGTGAGTTAATTTATAGATTTTTTTTTATGTAGATTCAATTAAAGTGCATTATATTGCTATAACTTAATAGAGATGTAAGTAAGCAATATTATCGTATGTACTATATTTTAGTTTTCTCCTTGTGTATCATTATAAGTAATTTGATGACATATGAATGCATAATCATTTTAAACGAAAGAAAAAATAGTATATATATACATACATTTATATATACACATGCATACATGTACAACGTCAATTTTTATATGTATTGGTCCACATCATTAAAAACTGTTTATTAGAAAGAAAATTGTTTTACTTCGAGCTAGATCATAGACCATTTCCTTAATTTTTAACTGTAGTTGGTTAACGTTGAATGTTCGTTTTTTATGAAAATAATAAGATGTAAGCTAATCTAATTCTGCTTGAATTAAGAACTTTAAATTAATGTAGTATATCTTAAAATCTTCATAGCAAGCAACACTTTCCTGACTTACATTCTCGTTCTATATTAATTTCATTTAACTTGTATAGTTAAAGCCTGGACTCATTGAAAACACTACTTCCCCTTGGATCACTAGAGTTATACAATGATAGACATAGCTAGTACTTTGATGTTTGACAGCTTTAGAATATCATGTGCTGTTGACTCCAGGAAGGTGTTATCAAGGTCTTCATATTAATAAGAGTAATAAAGATATATAAGAAATCAATAATTCTGTCCCATACAACGATAGCGTACTAACAGCAGACTCCATTGTAATCAAAGGATCAAAGATAAAACGTATCTTACTTATATAATTTTTAAGTATATTATATAAATGTTCTAAACGATGTGAAAAATAAACAAATTTATTTCTGTCGATCTTAATGGTAATTTCTATATTGGATCATTTATTTCATCAATGATATACTTACCAAATGTTGAAATTGATTGATTGCGTGCATTCACAAGCGAGTATTTTTAATACTTTCTTTGAATATTGTATTATTATTAATATTAGAGTATAAGACTTCTATATGGAATGAATGTTATTACTTTAATGAGATTTAAAACATGACAAGAAACGTTACAGCATAATTTGTGCTTTATCTATTAATAAAAGGACAAGACAAAACGAATTCTGCCCTTCTTCGTTCTTCTTGTTTTTTTCTTCTTTTTTAATACATTATAGTTTCATTAGAACATTTTGTTTATTATGCTGTTATTAATAATTCAACCACACAGTGCTATATACGTCGTACCTTCTTTTTTTGGTTGATGTCGTGCAATGACTTTACAATATTATAAATTAACACATGATATATTAAATAGCAGAGACACATGTATAATAGCACAGAGTAAAATGGCTATTGCTGATTGCGTGCATGTCATGTTACTCAGAAAAAGTTGACTGTACAAAATTATGGGATTTGTGAAAATTACTAATGCGAGATTGAAAATTAAATACTTCTTAAATCTATGTATCATGTAATATATAAGATATATTACAAGAAATAATGATATACTATAAATTGGTCTCTTTAACTTACTGTAACAATGCATAACAAAGTAGAAGATATTAACCCTTTGACATAACTTCGTCGTTCTTGATTTTTATACACTAATATAACTTACCGATTTATGGAGTTCTTTTTTATCGTCATTTTGATTATGCTGTTGCGCAAAATCTGCCGGTAGAATTAGATAGAATTTTATTTTTGTAAAAGTTCTATTTCTTTAATAACTTTTCCGCGCATGAATAAATAGCAAATATCGAATATCGTCAAAGGGTTATTTTAAATTGTCGTCCCGAATTGTGTAATAAGTATTTTATAGTAATCACTCTTGTATTTACGAGAACGTTTTTCCTTTAGCAGACGTTAATACGTGTTTGCACATAAATTATGGAAAATAGTCATTTTTTTTTGGTGTAATCCGTAGTTTGATTTATCCAGACTGTTTAAATAACCGGTATCACAACATTTGTGAAATTACACTAAATGTTACAATACATTGGAGCATAATATTTAATTCACTTTAATGCGCGCGTGATTGTGCCTTTGGTCCTTAGGTCAAATAGGCTCTAGGCAAGTCTATTAATTGTAGTTTAACAATCATTATAAGTAATAAGTTATAAACTTCGTATATGTAATAATTATATCATTCAATGTATCATATATGAATTGAACGCCTTATTCGTAGCATTCTTTCAATACACATATGCATGATTTTCCCCCCTACTTTTTTCTTCAAATTTGTGTTGTACATTGAAAGCTAACATTGTTTATTATGTATTGAGACGAATTCAAACTAATAGATTTAAACAATATATTTTCTATAATTATCGTGCTGTCTCGTTTCTTTTTTCTTTTTATATTTTATACAATTCATATGGACAGATTGCCAACAACATTACTCTCGTTTCAAAATTTTACGCATTTAACATTATACCAATGATTTATTCTCTTATTTTTTTCTTTTCTTTTGCTATATAAATAAAATATTCGTGTTATAATCTTGTCATTATTACAACTGTATAATAGTACATTTTGTATAAGTTACGCTAAGAAATTATATATATGTATATATATAATTAAAAATTGTTAGGAAATATTCTTTTAAATAAGTTACATTTATATTGCGCCTCGATCAATAAAAACATTCGTTTCTCGTTGTCAATCGAATCAAAAACGACTTTTCGATCCTTCAATTTATTGTGCACTTATTGTTAAGTTCGTTTCTGAGACGAGCGACAACAAGATCATCTGTGAAATTCACTGACGGAAATATATATATATGAATAGAAGTTTAATGTTCTAATTAAGCGATGTATTGCGTAGATAGACATTACAGTCATTCTAAAGCTAAAGCAGACTCCCCAGCGACCATTTAGCAAAGCCGCAATGTAAAATCTGTCGTTTTAATTTCGTCATTTAAATCGTGATTTTATTATACACTATAAATATAGTATTTGCTTTCGCCATGGCATAATATCGTTCGTTTCGGATAAATGTCGTCTATATTTTTCATCGTTTCGTTTAATTATTTTCTTAATTTTTTTTGTTATCATCTCAAAATGACTTTTATTGTTGTTTCCGATCGATAACTTTGATTTGCCTCAAAAATTTTCTATTTGAAGGCAAAAACGATTCGTTTCCTTATCTTGCTTTGAACAACACGAGAGAAGGCGTTGTACGTGGACGGGTTGGCATAGTGAAGACTAGCAAAAAGCTAGTCGGACTAGCAACGACATATACATACATACATATATTATTAATAATAATTACGAGTTCAAACGCAAAATATTATAAGGCAACGAAACGGAACGGAAGGGCAAGCAAATTCGAAGCGTAGGCCATAAGCGACGCGACGATATAACGTCTTACAATACATAGTACGTAGTATATGCCTTATTTATTTCTCGGATAACGTCGCCGCGAGAATGAAGAGCTTGTATTTTTATTGGATATTGAATTTGAATGGGGTGCTTTCTTAGAACAGACGTTTCGTTAGGTCAACGCGAAAGAGAATATTATAATCCCATGTTAGAGAGATTTTACATCCCTTTGACGATATAATTTGTTTCTTTTTTTTATTATTATTATAATTATTATTAATATATTATTATTAATATTATTATTATTATTTTATTCCTTTTATTGAGCTTCTCATCTTTCACTTCTTCACTGGCCTTTCCTCTCCTCTGTCATAAATTGGTCGACTATTTTCTGCATGGATTCTCGCAAATCGTCCGTCACAGCTATGCCACCTGTCATCGGTACCGTTGTTGTCGTCGTTACTACTTGCACGGTTCTCGTAATTCTGTGAAAATAAAATTCGATTGAAAGATCGATACAAAAAATAAATATAAAAAAGATCGTAAAGTAAAAATTCGGGTAAAATAAATTGAATACCTTTCCTGCGTTAAGGGATCCACTTCTGTCGTTGTGGTCTCTACAAAAGTTGGCTCGCTTTGTTGCAAAAAGTCAGATTCTGCGTAACAAAAGAAAATTAGTCAACCACTTTATTGTCAAAGTGTAAGCACTTTTGCTATGTCGATTGTTCACATGAAGACAAGTACCAATCTTATACCTTTCAATTTTACATCATGCCCAAAAACAAGGGGTAATAATACTAGACACATATAAAAAAAAAGTTGCAACATCGCTAAACATTTGACGATACATAATAAATATATAATACGCATTTTCGCTCAACCAGCCAAACATTATGCAATTTTTTATAAATTTCTTTTTTTTTCTTTTTAGTATTTTTTTAACGCTTCTTATAGACACGTTTAAATTAGATACTTCGTGGAAAATACGTTGCACGTGATTGATATTGCCTCGATGTATTCAAACGGACTTTCTATTATATTCCAGTGCGACGAGCCATATGATACGGACAATAAACAAATTTATTTTAATTTATTTTTTATATATTAATAAATAAGTAAGCAAATGAGTTTATATTATTATTATTATTTTTATTTTTATTATTTTTATTGAGTCTATGTAAATTAGAATTGAATTAATGTTGACAACGATCCTTAGAAATTATAGACGCGTATTTTAAGAATGATTTTCTTCCAATACATATTAGATATTGGCAAGTAGCACTGTCGTGTCAGCGCTCAAAAAATGAATGCTCATTTAAACTGAGTAAAACAAATGATTTTCTCAGTATAATTGTGCTGCACGCAGCGAGCTCGTGTAAAGCGCCGATAAAAGCTGCCGAATAAAGCATTTAGCAGTTAGTTGGTAAGAGATACGAGTACTCAATATATTATCAGTACAATCAAAATATAAGTTTGTACGTATATTTTGTAATACGATCTAATAGGAGTTTTCATCGGTCGAACTGAAGCAAGAACAACGAGTACATCAATAGAAATTCGATACTACTGGAAATTAAGCCGATGATATTGTTTTATTTCAATGCTACTATCAAACGATTTAGAGTGCAATGTGCGAAATCTCGAAATCTAATTACATCTTCATCACATTAACGTAATAGAAATATATTCATTGAGTGATGTAATCTTAAAAAATAATCGAGTGTGTCTCTTTTCGTTGGTATTAATTTTCATACAATTAGTATTTTTTTTTATTGTTCCATGAAAACAATTTGATTACTTACTATTTTCGACCAAGGGAAACACTCTTTTTTTCTTTTCTTTTCTAACTCTGTTTGTATCACATATGCTCAGAATACTAATCGAAAATTGATAAGGGGCACGTACTAACTACATTAGTTAGTATTGTTAGACGAACGGTCAAATAATACTGGAATATTATATTGCAAGCTTTATATTAGCTATACTTAGCGAAGGAAATGTGCATTTCTACAAGCTTAGGATCTTTCGTTTGATATATGCTAATTACATTAGCGTTTTGTACCTGCATTATTGAAAAGAGAAGGAAAATTTACATTAGTTCTCACGTTAAAACTCACTTATTTCGGCATAGAATAATAAAGTCAATTATCAATGATCTCGAACGATCTTCTAATCCAGAGTATTTTGTAATGGGCAATTTTTAATCCTCTTATGTATATATGTAGGTATACATTTATGTATTTAGGTGTATATATATGTATAAATATATATATTTATTGTATATACTATATACACAAATAAAGGCTTACTTACATGACGATTCGCCTAACAATCCTAACGTGACTAAAAACACGATTGTTGGTCCCTCTACATTTTAGCTTTATCTTGCGTGGCTTATTGTCAGAAGAGCTAGAAGGGTAAAAGAACTAAAAGGATGCTTAAGAGAATGAGATGTATCGAACTTTTCTCAATGTGTACGTGCACTAGCTGATAAAAACGCTTGAAAATAATGTATTATTAATCATCTGCTTTTTGAGATGAGACACAAGACTACACATAACTATCAGATGCTACAGGAGTATAACGTTCAAAGGAGTGATAGGGAATGTCATGCGAAAAAAATAGTGCTAATAATCAAAAAACCATGCAAAACAGTTGATAATAATCGTTTAAGTAGACGGCAATTACGAGAAAAAGAAAGCTTGCATATTTTTTATATATTGAAAACCTTATTTCTCCATGCACCTGCCTTAAGAATCAAAGTTACCTGTTCAATGTATGTAAATTGTAGAATATCATTGTAGAGGATACACCTGTGTTGGTTAAGTTGTATTATATGTATGTATGTGTGTATGAATGTATGATCTTGCGTGTTTTGTATATGCATATACGTTAATATATAAGTTTTATTGTCATACTAGGATTACAATATGTAGTAACAGACATTTTCTAGACACGATGACTAACTGACCAAATATTTATCCGAAACTTTGTCTGAATAACACCTTTACAACCACTGAAACTTTCCTGCATTTATAAGGAAAAATGAATGAAAAATTATGAAAATCATTATCAGGAGAATATGCTAAAAATTTGGTTCAAAGTATTCCTCGGGAGATGTCAGTTGATTATCGATAATACTATCGACTGGATGTAACTGCAATCTAAATAATCTAATTGTTAATACAAACAACGTATATGTACGTATTTTTAAATTTGATTATATAAATTTTCCCATGAATTAAGCCGACACATATTTTATTAAATCGGGCAGACAGTAAATTTGGGCAGTAAACAAAAGCGCGAATCAGTAGGGAACCGTACTTTCGTTGTAGCAACGTGCTGTTTAATTGCGAGCTATTCAAATATCTTCAGTATCTACAACCACCTATAGGATATAAATAGAATATCTAGTTTTGTTCATTTAATATGCACTTTATACGGGATATGTTCACGGATAGGAAAACTTTTTCTTATCGATAAAGATGCATCGAAATGTTAAATTTCTTTTTTTTTTTTATAAGTGGTATCGACTTTCAGTTAATATTACAAATTTAAGCTCGACTTGAGTGGTTACTTTATAGAGAAGAATAAAATGAAGGGTATATAATCGTACCCAGCTTGCCTCGGGATATTGTTAGAGAGAGTGTAGATGGCACGCTGGAATGTACGTGGCTCCACGGTAAGTAAAATTGCTAGTAGGACCATCAATACAGCAGCTGCTGCGCTCATCCAACAAGCACAGCTCGTCCTACCGGTAGTCTTCGTCCTAGGCTTCGTCTTTATCACACTGCACTGCATGCTCGAGCAAACTGATCGTACCGTACTGTCTGTTTCTGTCACTTAAAGATTATGCCTTTCGTAAATTTCTTTCAAGCTTATGGACTTTTGTATAATTGCTTTATTTTTTTATTTTGATTAAAAAAAAAATTTTTTTTTAATTTCACGATGTCTCCCGTTCCAATAATTAGTATGAAGAAACAGCAAGCGAGTATAATGTCAATCACAACATAACCGATCTTTTCGTTTTACCCAAAGTTATTTTGAAAAATTTCTTTACGATGAAACGATATTATATTAATGAAATATAATTTATTGATTAGATTGATATGTTCGTTTGAAAGATATCTAATGAATATTCGAATGTTTAATGAAATAGTGAAAGCTGTTTAATGAAATAGGAATTATATTTACTTGTTAAATATTTTTGTTAAATGCCTTGAGTTTATTAAACAAAAACAAATAGATCTATTCTGAATGAGAAATTAAATGTTTTAATTACCTTCAATACACAACAAAAATATGAATTGTAAAATGTGAATAATCGAAATATAATATAAGTTACTCGAGCGTATTTGCCATTTCATTATACTAATAACAAGAGCACAAAATTGAATGTACAGACACGCCTTTATTGCAAGTGAGTTTTCAATGATAATACATTAGCCCCAGAAGCTCCTCATAACAAATTTGTCCATATCGCAGCAAAGACCAACGATAGGAAGGCAAAATCTTTTTTTTTACCGATAACATTTCCAAATAACGAAGCACGTTAATCCGAGCAATACACCGTAGGACGCATATCTTACCCATGATATTTAATATAGGAGCCACACACGTATATAAGTTTGTGATCCTGATACATAAGCTTTGTTTTTCTTTACAACCAATCGCAATTTTTTAGATTTGCACCATACAAATACCGAATACCGGCCCTACACCTTGTACGGTAAAATGCATCATATTAAAATACACCGTAGAGTGTATTGTCATATATTATTAATGACTTGCAGTTAACTAACTTAATGTCATGCAGTTCCCTTTTTAAGACATTGCTAACCAGTGCGCGCACATATACTACTTCAATATCAGAAATAAAAGTAATAAAAGCGTTGCCACAAGTGTCGCACCAACTAGATTCTCTTCTAAAAAGAATATTGTAACTAACCGAATGATATAACGATAAGTATTATTGTATTATATTTATTTCGAAGATGAGATCAATATAGAGAAAATGTCGACAATCGCCTTTTTAAATATCCGAAGAGATAAAGAGTCCAAATATATGCCAGTTACAACTTCATCCCGTAGAAGAGTGAACCGTTGAAATTAGAACGAACTACAAAAATCTTAACTACATTTCAGTGTTGAATAACAGAGAGGCCTGTGCGAGATTGCGTGTACATGCGAAAAATATAAAGCAAATGAAAAATAAAGCATACCGATATAATAAAATACTCTATGTACGGACGCAATTACGTATCCGAGGTAACTGGTTAGCGGGATTCGTACATTGCTTACTTAGAAGGTTAGCTGTGAGTGCGGTACCTTGGTCGTCCTCCAATGGGGACAGTTCTGCACCTTCGTGCAGTGCTACGTCCGACCCGCTAGAACTGCCCAAAGTACGTCTCTTGCATGGGGATCTTCTTCTTGGCCTAGGTGAACCATCGCTATCTGTGTCGCTGTTCAATTCGTGCCGCGAACTATCGTTCTTTGTATAAATGTCACCGTTACCAGAACCAGGTGACGTGTCTAAAGATAGCTGCGTTTCCCATTGATCGGAATTATTAATAGAGTACTCTGCTGCAGCAGCTTGCGCCCATGTGTCACGTTCATCGCTTTCCGATTTTCCAGCTTTCCCGTAACCCCTATCAATTTCGCATTCCGACGTCTTCAAGTCCGATGAAAAGAATGGATCATCCGATCGATCATCGCCAGTTTTCATCGATTCTAACATCGATTGACCTAATTTTTCCGAATAAAGGGGCCCAGTAAAATGCCTTATTGTTGTTACTCTTTCTATGAATGTTCCATCTTCGTTTGTTTTTATACTTTGACTACTGTTACTTGTATTTAATCCTATATTAGTCTGATCATCGCTAATTTGTTTAAGATCAGGGGAAACTTCGGTGATTCTAGTAGTTTCCCTCTTAACAATTTCCGTAGGATATCCGGAATCTGTTATTTCCATCGTAGTAGTTACCGTTTTTACAGTCTTCAAAACTTCATCCATTTGCATGAGTTCCTTTAATTTGTCGGGATCGATCGTTTGATCCGAGGAAGACACGATCGTTGTCACTGTAGTATAAGTTTTATCAGACTCAAATATATTCGATGGATACATTTCGATGTTTTCCTTCTTCGTCAAATATTCAGTCTCTATAATATCTTTATCTTCGTCGACAGGACGATTGGTATTTAATTGCGATAGAATCGTATGATCTTTGTCTAACAATTCATCCTTCGTAATACGTACTACATCGGCTGATTTTAACAAAGGAATATGAGATTCCATCTTTGATCGGCTGCGAATATCTGATTCTATGGTTTTACTAATTTTGAGATTCTCTTCGTCTTCGATCTGTTTCCTTATTTTCACAGGAATCTTGGACTTAGGGCTGCTTTTTTCTGGTGATTCAGGAGAACGTTCGTATGGTTTCTTTATTTGAAGACCATGTGGTGTTCGTGAAACGTCTCCAAGATCTAGACGAAAATCTGCTTTGGCGGACGACTTGGTGGTGGTGAAATGACGTGGGGCGGGAACAGGTTGCTTTGTTGGAGCAGAAGTAGCATGCCTCTCTACAGTCCCATCAATCTCAGCCGAATCATGCCCTGACCCATCCAAAAGGACATGGACAAGAACAGGAACAAGGACATAAAGCACATTGATACACACTAAGAATTGATCACTTTAATCCAACTTAGGGAGTTGGACTTAAAGATTCAGCGTGTCTGCTTGACATTCATATGCGTGTGTACGCGCATACCCACTCTAATAGGCGCGCGCGCACACACGCACGCTCACGCGCATTGTTTCCGCATGTACGTGGGTGTGTACGTCGCACTTCTACGGTAAGTTTAGTTAGTATCAATACTGGAACAGGATTAGTTTGTTTATAAAAAAAACACTCATTAAACAGTGTCTAATTGTGACGCTTGAATCTTACTAAAACGGACCATTACAAAATTTACTCGCAGTAAAATATACGTTTTAATAAATTAAAAAAGCTTTCGCGTGTAGTATTAGAAGATACAAGATTTTTACTTTATATAATAGTTACAATTCATTTGACTAAGGATATAGGAAAAGATATTTTAATTATTGTTATATTATATAAGTAAGGATATGAAATTCTTTTAATAAATACTTCTAAAAGAAAACAAGTTCAAATACTTTAGAATATACAGAGTGTCCTGTAACTGATGGTACATGCAAACAGGAGTTGATTCTACATAAAAAACTAAATCAAAAATGTAAAATCAAATTGGTTCATACAAGGTTTTATTTCGGAGAGTTTTTAATGTATTTCTTCTTAATATATTTTAGTACGTTGTCAGTATGATAATATTTTTTTGTATTGGTTCTACTCTTCTGTTTATCGAACAAAGTTTTTAGTTTTTAAAGTTGCAAGCTCAGTTAAATTATTAAACTTATTTTCCTTGAAAACCTTATACGAACAAATTTTATTTAACATTTTCGATTTAGTTCTTTATATAGAATCACCTCTTGCTCTCTTGTACCATTATTTACCTGACAGTCTCTATTATATATTTATGAAATTACTTATTGTAAATCACAGAAGTTATAAATTATATTTACTCTTTCAACAGATTACCACTCAATAGATTAATGACCATTTTCTTGTTGCATATAAACCACTATAGTATCTAAATTACAGCAATGTGTTATTCAAATTTACATGTATACTCTCTTGGGGAGATACTGGTAAATATTTAGTAAGAAACATGCGCACAGTATCCGTTAGTGTGAAAGCGTCGGCAGGTGCTAACTATGGAAGATAAAGCTAAATATAAATGAGGGCACCAAAATAGAATTTGCTAATACATTGATTTTTGACCTGTGATCTGTGTTCGTGATTATTGCGTTTCTGTTACTTCCACTTTACCTGGTTTTGTCACAGAATATGTTTGTTGAACTAGGTTTTGTGCTCGTCTTGTTGCTTCTTCTGTTACATCTGTAAAATGAGAAATGTTATTTAAATATTGACACATAAATCAAATTAACATTGAAAGCAATGAAGTAACAAAGATTAGATGAATGATGTTTCCCTGCATGGTATACCTTGGTCATGCTTCTCTATAGTTGTGGTGTCCTGTTAATCCAATGAAATAAATTACGGAATAAAGAGTATGTGAATTGTATGTTATATATTATAACGAAAAAAAATAAGGACTTGCAAATAAAGTCTGTTACACTTAACAAATATGAAAAAAATTATTTTATATGATGTGATGAAATAGTTGATAATAATATAACTTATTGTATGGAAAACCTGGAAACATGCATTAAATAAATGTTAAAACAAGAGAAATATAATACTGGCTTCAGCGCAGTAAATAAAAACGCGTAAATTGTTATACTTCTTCACCAATCAAGTATATCTTTCGAACACATTCGTACCCCAAAGTATTATCTTCCGATTAAAGATTATGAACTGATACAAATTTAATGGAAATGTAAATAATCAAATTAGCAATAAATATATGCGTAAGAATATTATTATTATTATTATTATTATTATTATTATTATTATTATTATTATTATTATTATTATTATTATTATTGTTTAACGTGTATAATCTGAAATAATGTAAAAACGATCATTCCATTCTCCTCTCTATATTTTTTCGTACGAATGTATTACCTATAAATAACAAGTTGGTAACATTAGTGGACTGAAAGTGATTTAGATTAGAAAGTTAGAGTTGATTATAAATAATGAAAGTGCACGACTAGTTTGCACGTTTTTGTATAACTATTAAAACTGAAGTTACAGAGAAAAGCAACAACATAATTAATTATGTTACACACAGCTGGAATATAATTTGAATAACGCAATTATTGCAAGATACCTTCGATTCTACTGTCAGTGAACTCGGCGAGACTGGGTGGTGGTGTTGCTGCCGTCCGCACAGACTTTGTTACGACTGTGGTGACGGATTGTCTTGTGTGAGGTTCAAGGTGCTCTGATTCACTAGATATTACAACTACTCTACCTGAACCCAAATTTGTACTTAGCTGTTCAGTTCTGTCATCCGGAGAAGTACTAATACGTTGTGGAATGCGCGAAATCTTTTTCGATCTATCCCGTGATACCAAGTCCTGATTACCGCTAACAGTGAAACTAACTGTATTAATATCAGGTTTGGGATCAAATGTAGATGTTGAAAAACCGTAGCCCTCTGGTGCAGAAACTCCTTGCGCAGGAGAAATTATTTCACTACTTATAATCGTGGTCGTTCTACCTCCAAGTTGTTCATTTATTTTTCGTCTATCTTCAGATTCCTTGGGAAGGAAATAATCCCTAGAAGCAGTGGTAACACTTGTAATTTTGTGTCCAGCATCAGATACTTTGGTCTCTGCCTTCGTTTTTGTATCCTTGATAGCATCTGCAGTTATATCCTTCGAATCTTTTGCAAGTTTAACTGAACGCGTTGCAGCTTCCTTTGCTCGCGCCTCTTCAGCTGCAGCTTCGGCTTTGGTTTCTTCAAAGAATTCTTTCACATCACCGGTGACTTCTTCCATTGCATGTTTGGCACCTTTAATTATACCAGACAGAAATCCAGATCCTTTCTCTTTAATTTTCTTTTCCTCTTTAGTAGTTGTTTCCTTTGCTTTTTGAGTACTATCAGCAATACTACTACCACCAGTTGTTAGTTTTTCCGTTGTTGATCCAGAAGGAAGAAAATGTTCACTTGCAGAAACTGTAAAGTCGTCTGCTTTCTGTACGATATTAGATACTTTCGATTCAGTTTTTGCTTTAATGTCCTTAGCTGCGGCCTTAGACTTATTCTTGGTGTCTTTAAGGCCATCGACAACTTGTTCTGTAATTACCTGTGTACCTTCTATAATATTTTCATTAATGTTTTTTATTTTTGCTGAACTTTTATCTTTTACATCAGTAACATCAAAAACGATCTTTCGTTCAGCATCGTGTACTCCAGATACTGCTTTATACTTCAAGTCTTTTACACCTGTAACAGTTTTATCTTTTGCTTCATCTACAGCCTTAGACGTAAGCGCTGCAGCTTCTTTAGCACGTGCTTCTTCTTCAGAAGCTTCGGCTTTCGTTTCATCCAAGAACTCTTTGAAATCATCAGACACTTCACCTACCGCTTGTTTAGCACCTTTAATTATACCAGAGAAAAATCCAGAAGTTTTTTCTTTAGCTTTTTTGGTTTCTTTTGCAGCCTTATCTTTTGCTGACTGAGCACCATCCACAACAGCATCAGCTCCAGCAATTGCAGCACTTTTGACGATTTCAGCATCTTTTTTAATTTCCTTCGCTGCAGCATCTTTTGCATCTTTAGTAGTCCCTGCTACACTATGAGTTGTGGTTTTTATTTTATCAGTAACTTTTTTCCCACCTGAAATAACACTGTCACCTGTTGCTGTAACAACAGAAGCTGCTTTAGTTTTTAAATCTTTTACACCATCTGTAGTTTTCTCAGCAATATGTGACACTCCTTCAACTGTTTTCTCTTTAACATCTTTTACACCAGTTACTGCTTTATCCGTTAAATCATGTGCCTTACTTTTAACTTCGTTTTTAGCATCTTCAGTGCTACACACTACTTTATCTTTGACGACTTGTGTTGCAGCTACTGATTTATCCTTTGCATCTTTAACAGCAGTTACCGTTTTTTCCTTAGCATCTTGAAGTCCACAAATTGTCTTGTCTTTTGCTTCAGCCAAAGATTTAGAAGCTCTTGCAGCATCTTCTCTAGCACGTTCCTCTTCTTCTGCAGCTTCAGCTTTCGTCCTGTCCAAAAAGTCTTTTACATCTACAGAAATATCATCGATTGAGTGCTTAGCTCCCTTAAAAACACCTGTGAAAAATCCAGAAGTTTTGTCTTTAGCTTTTTTAGTTTCTTTCGCAGTTTTATCTTTAGCTGATTTAGCTGTGTCCACAAGAGTATCAGTGCTACTGCTTATAGCACCTTTCACAGCTTCGGTGTCTTTTTTTAATTCTTTTGCTACTGCATCTTTTGCATGTTTAG